ATAGAAAATGTTTTAGTGTAATAGTGCATCATTTGATCATTTTTGATCCCACTTACCTCCACCTTCCTCTCTCCTCCCTTCCCCAACCCCCTTCCTCATCTTCAAAAAGTAAAGCTCCTTGTTTTCTACCATCTGTCCTTTATTTTACTTGATTTATTCATACTTTGGGCTTCTCATATAAGATAAACCATGGGATATTTAACGTTCTGTGTCTGACCTATATCACTTCACATTATGGTCTCAAGAGCTATCCATTTTCCTACAAATCAAATTCATCCTTATTTATGGCTGACAATTCTCCACTGTATGTATATGCCACATTTTCTTTATTTGTCTACTGATGAAAATCCAGGCTGTTTCCATAGTTTAACTATTGTGAATTGTGCTGCTGTAAACATAGTTATAGGCACATACCACTATAGTATGTCTTTAACTCTTTCCAGAAAATATCCAGGAGAGGTACAGCTGGGTTAAATGAAATTTCTATTTTTAGGTTTTTTCCAAGGTAGATTTCCACCGTGGTTGTATTAGTTTACATTCCCACCAACAGTGGAGGATTCCTTTCCCCACACATCCTCACCTGCATTTATTGCTTTTTGTGTTCTTGATGATAGCCATTCTGACTGGAGTAAGATGGAAGCGCAGGCTTATTTTGGTCTTTATTTTCCCAATGGCTAAAGATGTTGGACACTTTTTTTTTCATGTATTTATCAGCCACTTGTACTTCTTGTTTTGAAAGGTGTCTATTCAGTTCATCTGCCCATTTTTTTGATTGGCCATTTGTTTTTTGGGGTCTAGTTTTTTATTTCTAGGTATTAGTCCTCTATCAGAAGAATAGCTGGCAAATGTTCCCCCCCCATTCTGTAGGGTGTTTCCACCCTGTTGATTCTTTGCTGTACAGCATCTTTTTAATGTGATGTAGTCCCATTTGTTGACTATTGGTGTTATTTCTTGTGCTACTAGAGTTCTGTTCTGCAAGTCTTCCTATGTCTATGGCTTCAAATATTTCCCCATTTTATCTTCTAGCAGTTTTAGTGTTTCTGGTTTTTACATCTAGTCTTTGATTCATTTGATTGTAGCACAGGGCTAATTTCATTCCTCTGCATGTGGACAGCCAGCTTTTCCATGACCATTTGATAAAGAAGCTATCTTTTCTCCAACATATATTTTAAACCCTCTTTTCAAGGATCAGATGGCTAAAGGTGCATAGGGGTTGTTTCCGCATCTTCTGTGGTATTTGTTTACTATTTAAATGAAGAATTGCTTTCTCAATAAGTATCAACAAATCTGTAAGACTACCACGCTTTCTCTTTTCCTTCATCTTTTTGGTCTATAATTTTCATTGGTTTTTGTTTCAAATTTACTTAAAATGATTTCTACTATTCCTGTATGTTTAAAAGGTTTTGGTTTTTTGGTTGTTTTTTGGCACTGGGGACTGAACTTAGGTCCTTGCACTTGCAAGGCAGGCATGGCACCAGTGAGCTACATCCTGAGCCCAAGGTTTGGTCTTTATAACTAGATTTTAATCTTTCATTTATTAGCACTTACACAAAATGAATTCTGATCTTGTAGCAACTTCTGTGCAAATATAATGCTCCTTCATTATACCTTCCAATGATATACAGGAGCATTTAGAAACTGAAATTTATATTACTTTATTATATATTTTAAAATTTCTACTTTATATTAACCATTACATTGATTTAAATTTTTTCTGTATTGTTTATTACACATAAACTTTATAATCTGAAAAAAGGCTTTATAAAATGTTTTAAAAAGTAATCAAGACTGAGGTTAACAAAAGATGTGTTGCAACTAAGCGAATTTAAAAGCAAGAAAAAGGCAACTTAAAGATAGTAGAATTCACCTAACAACAGACCACACATTATTAAAAAAAAATGTGTACATGGGTCATTCTCTACGACAGACCACATATTAAGTCATAAAACAAATCTCAAAAAAATTTAAGACTGAAACCATACAAAGTATCTTCCCTGAACACAACAGAATAAAACTAAAATTATAAAATGGTGCAGTTACCAAGAGAAAGTTTGGTGGTTTCTGAAAAAGTTAAAATAGAATTACTATGAACCAATAATTGTACTCCTAGTATATATAAAAAAGCATTAAAATAAAGTTTTGTGTGTGTGTGTGTGTGTGTGTGTGTGTGTGTTTGTGTGTGTGTCTTGCAATAGGGATCAAACTCGGGATCTTATGCTTGTGAGGCAGGTGGCAGAACCACTGAGCTAAACCCCTACCCCTAAAATAAAGTTTTAAAAGAAATACTTATACACAAATATTCATAACAATACCATTAGCAATAACCAAAAAGTAGAAACAACTCAAATATCCATCAATATAAAAATGGATAAAATGTGGTTTATACACAGTATTATTTAGCCAAAAGAATGAATAGATATACTGATGTTATTTAAATTAAATATACTTATCTATACTAAAACAAGGATGAACCTTGAAAATATTAAGCCAAGTGAAAGAAAATATATGTAAAAGTTCCCATATTAAATAGAGAAGCCCACAGACTGGTGAGAGTCACTATGTAGGAAGGAGAAAACTGAAAAATGAATTAAAGTAGGGCTTGGAAATATAGGAGATACCTATAATTGAGACAAGATTCAAATTTATTTCTCAATGGAAAGAGCTTGGAAAAAAATCTCCATTTATATTCATGCAAACCAAACATTAAAACATGGTAAAGTCTCAAAATAAAAAGTGCAACAGTGGTACACAGATAAACTCGTGCAATAGAACTGAAAACACAGAAATAATCACACATTCATAGGGAAATATTAAAGTATTACCTCAAATCAGGAGGCAAGGATGGACTCTAGTAAGTAGTGCTGTGTTAGCTATATACAGATATTCCTCATTTAAAGACCTATGCCACATCTGTTTGGACTAATGGTGTGCTACTCAGACTTAACCACCTGCGCTGATTTACACCCCAACCTGCATTTGGACTTCAAATGCAGGAATGTGAGTGGCAGTACAGCCTTATGGTAGCTACTTCTATAGTACAGTACTGTTAATTTTTGCTAATTGTATTGTACAGTACAATAGTTTATATTATACTATTTTGTTATATTATAATTATATAATCATATAATTATATATTATAGTTATATTACATATTAGTTTTATATTATATTATACTACATTATTATATTATATATTATATTATATGTGTGTATATAAATGTTAT